ATCAAAATGAATAAACAATTCAATGCTATCTTTTGACTAATTCTTCAATCCCCTAGAGTCGGTTTATTGAAAATGTCACAAATGGCGAGTCAACTATGAATTTGACAAAGATGATTCAATACTTGGTAACTGTAAGGGTGAGCAAAATATAGTATAGCAATAGATTAACTTGTATCATTTTGAGTGCTGAAGCGAATTTTCTTTTAAATTTACAGCACTCTAAGATACATTTTAAAACCTGTTAATAAATATACTCTTTCTATATTTTTTTTAATATCGCATTCATATAAATGGTCAAATACAGTAGAATCTCTTTGTAAAGGACAATTAATTCCAGGCCAAAGTGTCCTTTAGGGAGAGGTGTCCTCTTACCATAGTGTTTGCTAAATTTTAAAAATGGTAATTTTTAAAATGAAATCTGTCCTTTGTGGAGAGGTGTCCGCTAAAGGGAGGTTCTATTGCATGTGATTTTAAAATATCATTTGATAGAGGTAAAAAGAATTTCACACAAAATAATTCAAAGTTTTATCTTGAATATATTTATTTACATAAAATTTGTATGGTAAAAATAAATTTATGCACAAAAAAGCATGAGGTTTTAAAAATGTCACATATATACAAGATGGGGGTGTTAAAGACATATCGGTACTGACCAGAGGCCTCCTCCTCTACATCGTAGGACTCCAACAACTTGGCGATAGACCGGTCCAAGGTGACCTCGTCCAGCTCAAAGTACTGGGCGAGCTGGCCCCTCGCCTCCTTGTATATGGACTCCCGGCTGGAGACCTCGGATGCCTTGGGTTTGAGGATCCGGACCACGCATGCCCTGGTGGCGCTGTCCTTGCAGCCCTGGAACCCAGGTCTACTTCAGTGGGGTAGGACACCAGGATCATTCCTTCATCTAGGCAGGGAAGGTCGCTGTTGATCCGGATGAGGGTGTCTTCAGACATTCTTTCCAGTACCAGGATCCAGCGTCGGCCAAACCTCGCAGAGTATCGCATCAGCTCTTCTCTCGGACTCTCTGTCAAGTCTTCAAGTTCTGCGAAAGACTTGACGTTAGACCCATCGTTAAAATAAGTCAAATGAAGGCTTGAAGAGGTTTCATGACAGCGGTCCTAGGTTTTTCTAAATAAGACAACTCAACCTCAATTGAACCGCTGGTGTAAAGCCAAGTTAGAGTTTTCTTCTGCTTCAGATATCGGTGTTTTTCTGGAGATGCTCTTCGTAGGAGACTTCAAGTTGCTTCATCTCAGGTGGAAGAATGCAATGACGATTAGAGAACGATTCGGCTCCATTACTTTATATTCAATAAGCTTACTTCAAGGTTGGGCGCCTTTAAGAGCTAAAATTGTGCTCAATTCTGAATTAATTTGTTTCGCTCCTCCTTAACTCTTCCACAATTTTCTTGTAGTCTCCTAAATATTCATCAGAAAATTGATTCACTATCAAATCAAGAGATTTCCAATTCACTTCGCACACATAAATTAGCTTTGTATGTAGCCCAACTGTTGAATAATCGCTCTTTTAGGCCTTCCGCTAACGTCTCTCCAAATAATTTAAAGTTACTGATGAAATTTAATCGACAATAAAGGTCATCTAGTTGTTTCTTTAGCATGTCTCATGAAGCTTTCACCATCTATTCTTTTCGTAAGGTTTGTAAGACCCATCAATATACTTGGCAAACATAACAACAATTTGATTCACCAATTCACTTCTTTAAATTCATTTACAATAAAGTAACCAGGAAGAATTATTAATATTTAATTGATCTATAAAATTCTAGAATTCGCGTAATAAAATGCATTTGTTTGCGTTTCTTTTACTAAATTCAAAAGAATACCCTTTCAGTAGCTTGATAAGATGAATTTATACAAATTTTGTAAAAAAGGATTTAAAATAAATTTTGGCACCATATCCAAAATCCCATTTCTGTGAAAGGTTCCATATGGAATTAAGATCAGGCATTAATTTGGGTAAATTTTTAAGAACAATTCATAAAATATTTTTCGTAATATATATATTTTATAAGATTCAAATGTAAAGTTAAAACAATTTCTCTTGATTTTCAAGACAAGTTTTAACGTTCTCTAAATATTCCTCGGCCTTCTGGATCGAGAACCGGTTATTATTAGAATTGAAATCTTCACAAATAAGTTTAAAAATAATCATAACTAAAAAAGTTATAAAAATGTCTAGGGAAATGAAAAATCCATATGTTTAAAAATTGTTCCAATATTGATATAGCTTTCTTGGAATTTATTATATCCATCACTAAATTTAAATATGAGTTTTAAAAATTCTCCTCATCTTATTATTTAAAGCGATATGCCATTCTTATTCTCATTGAGTTCATTACATAATCTATTTTAATTCTGTGTGCTGGGAAATTTTCTATGACATTCTTAAAATGTTGAATAAGAATAGAATATTTGACCAAGAGCGAGTGATTAGAAGAATCTTTTCTTCTATTGAATTTGTTTGCCTTATATTTTTATTCTCTTTTACAAATTTTATTCTGATAATTTTTCAAGACCTTTAACTGGAATTAAACAATCTGTTGAACTGTAATGTTATTAAGTTCTTCTGTTATATCTTCAAATTGTTCAATTTGTCCATCCAAAAATATTATAGATATTAACAATGTCTTCTGAGTTACTGGAATTCATAAATATATTTGATATTTTTTCAAAAATATGTAATTAATAAAACGATAATATTACATATTTATTAAAATATTCAATTTTTATAAAATGATTGAACTGGCATAGAGAGAGATATTTTAGAAACTTCAAATTATGAACTCAATTTCAATTTAAAAAATAATTAATCTGTTAAAATATTTAATATTTTATTATTTAATATCTGATTACAAAAATTGAGCTAAGCACTTAGCTAAAGTCAGTTAATGGATTTCTGCAAATGATATTGTTATTGAATAAAGAACGTGAGAATTAAATAAATTCGTGGATGGCTTTTCTTGATTTATCAACAAATTGGGTTGGCCAAATATCAGGGAACAGGCTAAATCAAGCATGTCAAACTCGCGGCCCGCGGGCCTCATGCGGCCCACAACGAATAAATTTGCGGCCCACAGACAATATATTTCAATTAAAAAAAATTATAAATTTAAAAATAATAATAATAAAATTTGTAGCCTAATTTTTAAAAATTGTAATTATACATAATTTATTTATTAATAACGAACCACTGGTCGCCATACATAAGTCGTAAGTTTTTATAATATTATACCTACATACATAACGTAATGTACATCGCCATAAGTATTTTTTGCGGCCCACATAATCTTATTACTTTTTTATTTGGCCTGTTAGGATTTGAGTTTGAACATGCTTGGGCTAAATCAATGTTTAGTTGATTTCTATTCTATTCATGGCGACTCTGGCGCTCTCCCTTCTGTAAAGCACATGTGCTTCTGGTCAGGATATGCCATTTTAATATTGATTTCAACACCTGATCTTTTTTGTCTTTTTTTTTATTTCGTTTTTTTCATAGTTGTCAATGTATTAATTATATATACAGTAAAACCTGGATATTCTAACGTCGTCAATTCCAATATTTATCTTGGTCCCTTGAATTTTAAACCTTTTATTCAAAACGTTTTTAATTCAAATTTTTGAATAATTCGATTTTTTTTTTTGTCTTTTGGGCTTCGAATTGTCCAAGAGTTCGACTGTATACTATATTTATTCAAGTTTTTTCTCATTCAAGGAAGAAAATCGGTTAAATATATCTATAAGTAAAGGATTATCTAAAACTCTTTAAAAGGTTCACAAATATACTAATATATAGAGAGCCTCTAGAATTTTTTCTGGAGTTACAAGATCTATTGTTTTAAATTTATAGAATCAAATCTCCTTCAAAAAGAAATGGATAATAC